CTGTTCAGTTGTAGACAGGATGTACTTCTAGTAAACCGCTCACACACCTTATAACGTAACGAGTCGGTGAGTCTATAGCAGCGGAGCACGAGCCGAAAGGTAGAAAGTACTTCCCTTCAGTGCGTCACAGCACGTGCACACAGGCAGAGGCAAGGAGACAGTTGTTTCTGCTGAAGGTGGGTGGGTGTTTTGTTACCACTGAGAACCAACTGTTGGTTATGAACAACAGGTTGTGTGAAGCTGGGGGTCGTCTAAAGCAGAGGGGAGACCCTTGATGATCAGGGTAAGACAGTTTTCTGGACTCAGCAGTGTGCTGGGTCACCATTGTTAGAAATTACATGCTAGAATATGATCTTACTTCTGTCAGTCAGTGGCTGTCTGTCCTCCCATCATATAAGCAAGTGTCAGAAGAACATATGGTTTATGTAACTATTAGTATTTTCACTATTTTATGAACATGAGGAAATTAAGGGCAGAGTTGTTTATTTATTTTTTTAAGTTCTTGTATAGGCTAAACTAGAATGGGAACTCCTTATGTGCATGGTGCTGGAAGTTAGGGACTCTTCACTGTTTCTGAAATGTGCGTGGCTGTCCCTGCCACGGGGGTTACTGTTAAAATCAATGAGGAAATATAACGCCAGCCACTTTATGTGGTTCCTAGTCCTCAGTCACCTGTGTAAACTCCTCCCCTCGTACACCACCTTCCGCTCCTTCCCCTCCCTGTTGGAAAGTAATGTGAACTAACACATTTCAACCACCAGCTTTTAGAGCTCTTCCCACATAACGCTACTGCAGTTCTGTAAGCAACCAAGGTGCTGCACAGGAACCAGCACTTAGAGATGTGACACTGCGCTCTTCACATTCTCATCGCCTCGGAGTCGTCTTTTAACAAGCTTCACAAATCTGAAAGCTGTTGTAGACTTAACTCTTAAAAGACTTTCATTCATGTTTGCCAAAATTGTTTTGTTTACAGCGTGTGTTTCCTAACCTGTTAGGGATTCTAGAATGGGAGCGTGGTGTTTGTACTTCCCCACCATGTCCCTGTACCTTTGGCCAAAGCCAGAGCCGCACAGCCCCTCCTCCCTGTCTCCTTTCAGCACAGCAGCGGGCACTTGACTCCGCAGGCGAAGGTCAGAGGGGTGTCCTTCCTGGCAGGGTTTCCTTACCTGTGGCTTAGATTGGAAGACAGTGCGTGTGACCTAAGAGGGGGTAGAGAGGTGGGGGTCAGGTACCCAGCAGGTGTTGAGAATCTCTTAGGGAGACAGTGATCCCCACATTACATGACAGAGCAAGCACCCAGCTAAATAGCTGCATCATCGTGTACACATGCACACTGTAGGAAACTATAAACCTCTTTGTTAAATATTATTTAGGCTGAAAAATATTTTAATTTTATTTTAGTCTCTGCTCCTAAGTGTTTGGCTTTCGAAGGAAAAAGATATTTTGGACAAACCACAGTCTGTCTGCTGTCTTCATACCATGCTGTCCCTGTTGAGCAAGATGAAAGGTAGGAGATGTGGGCCAGTGCCCAGGGTTTCCACTTCGATGCTCTGAAACAAAATGTAGTGTTTGAAACACCACACAAAGGCAGGGGGAGTTTCTTCCAGCAAAAGGAGACCGCAATGTAGAAAACGTTTCAGTGGGGCATGAAGCCAGAAGGAACCTTTGTGCACACCAGGCCCTGGTTTGCATCCTTGGCTCTGTGACCCTGTTGCTAGAGAAGTCTTCATGCGCTGGCCGAAAGCTTCCTGTGCATTAGTGATACACTTTAATATAGGACCGTGAAATTCTGCTGTCAGAAATGTAACGTTATTGGAGAATGGTCTTTGGCAGAAATACTACTTTGCCTTTTTTGGTAGAAGTGTCTCAGTGTTTAAGAGCACTTGTTGCTCTTCTAGAGGAGCTAGGTTCCAGTCCCAGCACCCACACAGTGACTCACAACTGTCTATAACTCCAGTTCTAGGGGATACATTACCTTCTTGTGGCCTCGGTGGGTACCAGACATACATGTGATACATAGATATATATGCAGATGAAAAAACCCATACATATAAAGTAAATAATAAAAATTTTCTAAAAGTATATATCTCCCCGTTATTCCTTTCTAGTAATGATGAAAATATTTCAGATAAGAGTTTGGGGCCTGGCAGCGGTGGCGCACGCCTTTAATCCCAGCACCCAGGAGGCAGAGGCAGGCGGATCTGGCCAGCCTGGTCTATAGTGAGTTCCAGGACAGCCAAAGCTGTTACATAAAGAAACCCCATCTCAAAACAACAGCAACAGCAACCTCCTCCCCCGCAAGGGGAAAAAAATGAAGAGTTTGGTATTGATTCAAGAAACAGCTTGACTAACAATATAAAGAAATGGAAGATAAATGTGAAAGAAATCAATTGCAATGGCTTAGGGTTTTTATTGCTGTGATAAAGACCATGGCCAAAAGCAACTGAGGAGGAAAGGGTTTATTTCTTCTTCTACTTCCAGGTAACGGTCTGTCACTGAGGAGGTCAGTGAACCTCAGTTCCTGGAGGCAGGAACTGCAGCAGAGACTGGAGGAGTGGAGCTTACCGGCTTGCTCTCTGTGCTCAGCCTGCTTTCTTACACACCCAGGACCACCTACCTAGGGGTGGCACCACCCACAGTGGGCTGGGCCCTCCCACATCAGCCACCAATCAAGAAAATGCTACACAGACTTGCCTGCAGGCTGAGCTTATGGAGGCATTTTCTTATTTGAGGTTCCTTTCTCTCAGATGACTCTAGCTTGTGTCAAGTTGATAAAAACCTAGCTGGCACACAATATTAATTTTCTAGTACATTTAGAAATATGCGGGTACATCTTTGAGGGGTTTAGTTTAAACATAAAGAGTGAGACCCATATACAACACACCCAAATTGACAGGGTAAGATTTTACCTTTTGCTTTTCTTCTTGTCTCTGCAGTGGCCATTGACGAGACGTGGGATTCTCAGTCTGTGTCCCCTTGGTGGCAGCAGATGCGTATGGCCTGTATTCAGTCGGAGAACAATGGCGCTGCCCTGCTGTCTGCACATGTTGGGCATTCTGTTGCTGCACAGATGTCCAGCAGTGCTACAGATAAGAAAGTGAGTGGGCAGCTGTGCGGCTGCCCTCTGTGCCGAGCTAGTTGGCCGGTGGCTGATTTCCGTTCTTGGGTAGTGCTCTGGAGCGTCTGGACTGTGGGATGTGTGAAGAACTTAAGTAGCTGGTAGTGGATGGTGATGCTTTCCTCACTAAGGGTCAGGGCCACACTGGACCACTTCTTGGGTTTATTCGGGTTCTGCAGGCCCATGATTGTCTCCATCCTCCTCCTCTTACACACCCGGCACTGAGTCAGACGGGCCAGCACTTTACCAAACATTTGCTGTGAGGGTTTCCCCTCTTCTGAGGGTTCGTTTACATTAGGAAGAGAAGATTTGCTTCTCTTACATTTCATGGCAGGTCAAGTGGTTTTTCCTAGTGGGATGTTAGATTAAAACTTGAGTGGGTCTATAGCGGTTTACTCCAAATGTTGTCAGCCCTGGAAGTTAAGGGCTAACGGTGACATTACCAGATTGAGGTGTTTACAGTGATAGAGTTGGCTGGTACATTCTGTCAGTGTCCTGAGCAGAGCAGCCCTTGCCCAAGGCCAGAAGACTCTTTAAGATGCACACTGGCTGAGCCCGACTTATTACCACAGGACCTCTTCTAAATGTCCCGAGTCTCCAGTCTCATCCAGTCAAGTAGTAAATCTGTAAAATGACGTCTCTGTTGCTTTCATGGAAGTTAATGTTATTCAGAGTCTTTGCCAGACAACTGGGGTGTGGCTCAGTGTGAGAGCAGTTGCCCAGAGTGTGTAAGGCCGTGGAGTCAATCCTCAGCACATCAAAAACAAACATATTGCCCAGAGTATGAACAAGATATTTTCTCTTAGTTTTCCCAGACGGTTTTGGGTGCTGATGCAGAAGCCCTCACAGACTCCTGGGAAGCCCTTTCTCTTGACACCGAGTACTGGAAGCTCCTGCTCAAGCAGCTGGAGGACTGCCTCATACTCCAGACTCTGCTTCACAGCAAGGCCAGCCCTCCACCTGCCAAAGTGTCGTCTCCACAGACAGAGCCACTTCCAAGACTTTCTGTTAAAAAGCTGTTAGAAGGAGGAAAAGGTGAGCTGACGCACACGCGTCATTTTGAGTATGTATTTACTTGTTCTGTTTTCTTCAGACAGGCTATGACAATGCAGCCAGGGCTTGCTTTGAACTCACAGTCCTCCTTCCCTAGCCAAGTGCCATGCATATAGGTGTGAGTGTTTTCCAATTAATTTTAGACTAGTTTTCATTGAATGAGATGTTTACGAGACTCCCTTCCTGGGTCTGAGTTCATCCTTCTCCCTGGTCCCACCTCACCCACTCACGGACACTCAAGTCTCGCTCATGTTCAAAAGTCCATCCACGTATCCATCCAAGAGGCCATTCCCAGCCGACTTTCTCTCCTCCTGATCCCCTTAGAACTAATAACTTCATCCCTTCCTCCCTTTCGTCCCCTTTTTGTGTTTCTCCATTTTCCATAAGTACATGTTTTATGTTTCATTGCCGCACAGTAGTCATATGTATTTATGAGACATAGTGTGGCATTTTAATACATTTATGCGTCATTAGCTCAGATCCTTTATGTGGCTGTCATTGTTTTGTGTCAGAGCACTCCAAGTCCTCTCTGATGTCTGTTTTGAATATTGAATTAGTTGTCAACTTTAGAGTCTCTGCTATGCTGTAGACCAGCAGTGTACTTCCCCTCCCCCAGCAGATGCACCCTAGTACCTCCTACTGCCCTCTCTTCCTCCTCCTCCTCACTGCCCTGCACTCCCCAGCCTCTGCTCATTGCTCTTCCACCCTTACTCCTGTGAGAGCAGCTGTGGAGTTTCCACATGTAAGTGAGAGCCTTCAGCAGTGTCCTCTTCTGGTGCATGACTTTCCACTGGCCTACAGTTCAGGGGCTGTTATTTCAAGTGCTTTTAGGTCTTCAAGATTCATTTATTTATGCATGTATTTGTGTGCGTGTACTTGGACTATGTGTGCATGCACGGAGGCCAGAAGAGGGTGTCAAGTGTCCTCTGTCAGTGTCCTTCTATTCTTTTGAGGCAGGGTCTCTTTCCAAGCCTAGGGTTCAAATTTTCTAGGCTAGGTTGGAAGCCAGGAAGAACCAGGGATCCTTCATTCTCTGCCAACCTCAGAGATGGCCTTACGTGGGTGTGCCATCTGCCTAGCTTGTTTACATGGGCAGTGAGCTCTGTATTCTGTTCCTCATGATTGGGTAGTACTTACTCAAACCCTAAGCCATCTTCCCAGCCCCGTGTTTATAGATTTTTATTTAATTAACTTGTTTTCTCACTCTTTATAAGATTTGTGATGATTTTTTAATTGTAAATTTCCTGTATACCATGTTGTCACCTAAAGAAGATTGAGGTACATCATTTTAATATTAACCCAATAAATATAGTCAGGGGCATAACATCTGTGAGGTAGTCTAGAAGCCAGATGTAATAAATTCAGTCTCCTAGCACCCTGTTCATAGTGTTTTTACAGCTGAGGGTGGGTTTACTATGAAGCTTTTTTTTTTATGGGTAACTCTTTATTTGAATCAAAATAAGAGGTAAGCCAGGCATGGTGGCATCTGTGTTAGTCCCACCTATTCTGGAAACAGATGGGGGAATGAACATCTGAGCTAATAAATTTCAAACCAGCCATAGTGGGCAGCATAGTGACACTTCATTCCTCACCCCGCCCCCACTCCAAAAGACGGGAAGGTCAGGGTTAAAGTTAGTGTGTACCATTTTTAAATGTGTGATTTATTTTAGGTAACAAACAGAATTTTTGAGATGCCTTGAACATTTCCAGCTCGCACTTACAACTTTTTGTGTCCTGTTGTTGTTTCTTACTCTTTTGGTGTGTGTGTGGAGGACCTTTTCCTATTCCCTTACTTCCCTAAGTCTTACTCTTACTCCGTGGCTTGCTGTGTAGCTGGGTGGCTGGCCCCTGATGTCCTCCCCTTCTCTGGCTCCGTCTCCAATCCCTCTCCAGATTTCTCCCTCTGTTTAGTCTCTCTGCCTGCTAAGCCCCTCTTATCCTTTCTCCTGCCTCACTATTGGCCATTCAGCTCTTTATTAGACCATCAGTTGTTTTAGACAGGGACAGTAACACAGACTCACAGAGTTAAACAAATGCAACATAAACAAAAGTAACACACCTTAAAATATTCTACATTTCTCCCTTTTGTCTAAATAAAAATAAAGGTTTTAACTTTAACATAGTATAACTACATACAACAAAAACAATTATCAAGTAGGAATTACATTTACAATATTCTGTCTGTTTGTAGTTAGTATATTCAGAGAAAATAATGCATTATCTATCCTGTCTTAGTGAGTCCAAAGTTTTACACCTAACTTACTTTCTATCATAACTAAGGAAACTGTAACTAACACTATTTAGTCTTCAACTCCATCGAAGACCCAGAAGGATATAATATTATCTAACAATAAAGACATTTGGCTGCCTGGACAGTCACCCAAAGTTCCTCTGCGATGCATCCATCTTCAGCCTACATGCCTAGAGTATCTGGCAGACTTTTCTATGAAGCGGAAATTTTGAACTGTCCTGGCTTGTTTTGGCAAAGTTCATCAGTCATTTTCCTCTGTGTCCTGCAGAATGTCTGGCAGAAATTTTGAAGGACTGTCCTGCCTTGTTTCGGCAAAATTCAACAGTCTTTTTCCTGTGTGTCCTGCATGTCCAGTCTGCTCAGCACATTGTCAGCAGTCAAAGGCAAGAATAGTTCCTTTGCCCAGTGGCTAACCTTGCCACAATGAAAGCAAACTCCATAAGGAGTTTCTTCAGTGCCCATCATCTCTCTGAAATAAATTGGTGCTACCAGGAGCAGATGTGTCTCATTGTCATGAAAAACTTTAAATTAACAAAACATTTTAAATGCCATATGCTATAGATCTTTGAAGTATTTGAAGACCATCTATCTAAAATATATCTATTTAACCTAGAAACCATACCTCTCTACAATTTTGATTGTTATAAATGACTAACCACTAACCTATGTTCCTGATTATCCTATATAGTTTATAATAACATCTTTCAAAAACTATAATTTTACCTTATATTTTTAAATAAACTGCATAAGTACAATGCCTTTAACAAGAATAGGAACATATATACAATATGTTATAACAAAATAACCTTAAATTTTTATCAATATACAAAAATCCTTTAAGCAAGAGTAGAAACATGTATACAGTATAACACAAATAACTTTAAATTTGTGTTAATATTCTATATGCCCCTAAATGATAACAAACTCCTTTAAACAAGAGTAGAAACTTATATACAGTGTAACAAAAATAATTTTAAATTTGTATCAATATACTATATTCCCATAAATGATAACAAACATTTATAACCCACCAATTAACCAGAAACCATCCCCAGCTCCCAATTCTTGGGAATATGGGTATAGTTTTCTCCATACTTCTTCCTGCTGTTTGTGGATGAAGTACCTTTAGGGTCCTAGAGAGAAAATTTTGAGATAATGGCCAAGTCCTGGGAAGACCAGCAGTGACCTTTGCTGATAGATATCACCTGTCAAGTTTCAGGAGGTCTCACCTGATCAAACCTGATCCATATTAACCCTGAAGGAATCCACAGCCTCTCATCTCCTGTGGGAACTCCAAAGCATTTCTGATTTCTATTTGATAAGTACATTTTTTGAGTTTTCAAAAGTTAAGGCATTCCTAAGGTATAAAGGCTGATTTATTTCAACAGTCCTTCTTTCAATCCTATGTCTCTTAGCGGCTCTTGTTTGCTTATGACCATTTAAAAAATTCAAAATCAACACAGCATACAGGATCCAAACTCTCTGTGTATTTCCCATTTCTACATGGCTTACTTTTTATTATTGTACTTCTCTCTTCAAAGACTTTATTATTTTTAAACTGTTTCTTTTACTGTTCGTACCCTTTTCCTTTCTTTTTTTTCTCTTTTCTCTGTGTGTGTGTGTGGGTGGGGGGGGGGGGTTTTTCGAGACAGTTTCTGTGTAGTTTTGGTGCCTGTCCTGGAGCTCACTCTGTAGACCAGGCTGGCCTCAAACCACCTGGCTCTGCCTCCAGAGTGCTGGGATTAAAGGCATGTGCCACCACCGCCCAGCTTTTTCTTTCTTTCTTAAGCCTACGTACATTGTAAAACACACTGGAACCTGTTTAGACGTTTTTCTGTCTAGATCTCTTTTACTGTGTATCTTTTAGCCTTTTTTGACTGTATGAGCAAACTTTCAAGCTCATAAGGTACACCTGTATTCTCCGCATGAGCAGCTCTCGGTCCGGGAAATCTAAGCATGAAACCCTTGGCCTGTTTGGAGGTTTGACTGACCAGGAAATGCATTCACCCTTCCTACAGCTCTAGAATGCTGATGCTTGCACTGAGGCAGGTGTTTTTACTTAGTTTTTTGTTCCTACTTAACATACTAGCTGCTCAATGGCTCACTGACCAGTAGAAACGGTCCGGCCCAAACTCTTAAAGGAGCCATATCCCTTTTTTTTTTGTTATTCAACTTTCTCAGGCTCTAGAGGATATATCAGCCCCAAGTTGGTACGCCAATTTGTTGTTTGTTTCTTGCTCTTTTTGGAGGGCCTGCCACCAGCTCCCAAATAAATCACACACGGAGGCTTATTATTACTTATGAATGCCCAGCCTTAGCTTGGCTTAGTTTCTAGCCAGCTTTCTTTATCTTAAATTATCCCGTCTACCTTTTGCCTCTGGGCTTTTCCTGTTCTCTTATTTCCATAAGTCTTACTCTTATTCCGTGGCTTGCTGTGTAACTGGATGGCTGGCCCCTGATATTTTCCCCTTCTCTGGCTTCTTCTCCATCTCCCTTTCCAGATTTCTCCCTCTGTATCTTCTCTCCTGCAGCCCCACCTGTCTCTCTTTTCTGCCTTGCCATCAGTTGTTTTACACAGGCACAGTAACACAGCTTCACAGAGTTAAACAAATGCAACATAAACAAAAGTAACAAACCTTAAAATAATATTCTCCTGCAGTACCCCCTTGATGAGTAAAACATGTAAATTATGACTGAATTTTGCCCATAGATATTTCACATAGCCAAGTGAGTTGTAGATTAGATGTAATATGGGGTGGGGGGTCGTGTCCCTGGGGCAGTGACTCCATGCGGAAGAGTGTCTCTGCCAACCATGAGTCTGAGTTCAAGTCTCCAGAGCTCTTGTAAAAGCCAGGTGTGGCTGTGTACACTCTAACCACAGTGCTGTGGGAGAGGGAGACAAACTGGAGTTTGCTGCCAGCCTGGATCCAGGTTCAGTGAGAGACTCTGCCTCAAGTGAACAAGGCAGAGTAACAGAGCAGGACGCCGCCCTCCCCTTCTGATGTCACATGTACGTATGTGTGCGTACACACCTATACAAACACATACGCATTTATTTTAAATTTAAAAAAGTGACGTGAGGAGTAGGCATTAGCTTCATTGATAGAGTGATTGTCTGGCATGCATAGTCCTGGGCTTAATCCCCAGCACATCATAAACTAGGGGTGGTGGCACATACTTGTTCCATCACTTTAGAGGTGGAGGGAGTAGCATCAGAAGGTCAAGGTCATCCATCCTCAGCTATGTAATTGGTTTGAAGCCAGCCTGACATAAGACTCTCAAACCAAAAAGAAAAAAAAAATCCTTTAAAAAAGTAATTTATCTCCATCTGTATCTGTGTAGTATATTTTGAATTTATGGCAAGTGTATGGCATACTGTATTGACACATGTCCATTTACGTTTATTTGAGATTTTTCTCAATGTAGAAGTGTGCCCCCACATAGCAGCTGTCTTGCTTGCCCTCTCAAGGTGAATGGCAGGTGTTAACACTGCTGTAAATCTCATGGTTTTTTGGCATCACCTTCCATTCAGATTCAGAAGTGAATGTGGTGTGCATATCTGTTCCTGAGGGAACATCCTGAGGGAACATCCTGAGGGAATATCCAGCATATCCTTTATTTGGTTAGTACATTGCTACTCAAATTTTACCAGATTTTATTTTCTTTCTTGTCTCAAACCTGTAGGTGGTGTTGCAGACAGTGTAGCCAAGTGGATATTTAAACAAGACCTCAGCCCTGAATTGTTGAAATGTGCCAACCAAGAAAGAGATGCAGAAAACCCAGATGAACCCAAAGAAGGTATTGCCCGAAGTTTCCTTGAGATGCCAGAGGTGCAGATAGACCTAGGAGCCATACCAGGTGACACCCGAATAATGAGCGTTGCGTGATCTGAGGCGGAGTGAGGTAGCTGCGTTCTTGTACTGAAAGGGTGCTGTTACCCTCTCGTGTCTTTCAGACTTGCTGTGTTTAGCCTATGAACAGTTCCCTTGTAGCCTTGAGCTGGACGTGCTGCACGCACACTGCTGCTGGGAGTATGTTGTTCAGTGGAATAAAGACCCGGAGGTACGTCTGTCTCCATCTGATGATTGTGTCTGCACACATGTACCCAGGCCAGGCTTGTCCTGGAGCTCTTGAAACATTTGCTTTGACCTAGTGCTGTACTAGTAACTGTGCTAGGTGCTTTTCCTACATTGCCTTGTATGCCTGTGTGGCAGTACTGAGTATTGAACCTATAGCCTCATATCTGCCAGGGAAGCACTCCAACACTAAACTATATCCTAGCCCTTTTAAACTTATTTCCTGGAGACAGGGTCTTGTTAAGTTGCCCTTACTGGCCTTGAACTTGTGGCTATCCTGGGTAGTAAGCAGTGTGTACTGAAGTGGTCAACTGTGTTCTTAAGTGTCTCTTTTTTAGACCTCAATCAGTAATTCTTTAAGATTTTAGGAGTTATACCCTCATTCTAGTTCTAGCATTCCTTTTTCCATTGAATAGAAGCATGGGGTTAAGTCAAGACTGACTGTAGTTCATATTCCGCTGTGGGGACTCAGCGAGATGGGATGGAGGAACATGAACAGGATCCCCATCCTGGCACCAGGGTTTGGTTAAGGTTTGGCAAAGACAGTGTATTGTTTAAACCACTCTGTTAATGTTGTCTTTTAATACGTAACACCATTGCATGTTAAAAAGACTATCGGGGGGAGTAAGGATGCCTTATTGTATCAGTGTGAGTTAATTCACCTTTGAGGTTTTTATACAAGAATGCAGCCCGAGATAAAGACCCCAGAGAAAGAGTTTGGATACAAGAGGAATCATTTACAAGAGTACTTATGAGGGAGGCTTGAGTGAAGGAGATGGTGCTTCATCTTGATGTCAAGCCTGAAGGATTGATGCCTTCCTTAAATGGGTGGAGTGGTGGGGTAATAGATTGGTGACCCGTTGAGGGTCAGCCATTTAATTGGGATCCAAAGCCAAACTTGGGGCCACTCTCTAGGGTACTTCCAGACCAAAGTGCCCACAGAAAATTTGTAACCCTGAAAGTATGGCCTTTATCAGAGAGTTAAACAAGCAAAGGCTAACCTTGGACAAGAGTTGGCCATGTATACAGTAGGGCTGTTTCTGGGTTATTGTTCTTGTCCAAATATAAGAAAAGTGGTAAACATAGACACATTCTAGCCATGAGACACTAGGCTGCCATTAGGACCTTACTTTGACTTTACCAAGATTTACACATACTGTTAGGTTGGTGCCATTTCATGCAGAAATGCAGGAGGAAATAAAAACTATCCTTGTTCCAGTTCACTGAGGACAGGGCAAAGCACACATCTTCAAGTAAGGAGAGAACTGTGTTCCAGACTGGGCTGTACCAGTACAGTCCTGTGTTAAAGGAAGGAGGAATGAGCAGCACAGCTTTTGGTTCTGGCTCACAGAAGAGCCTGTCTTCGTGCCCGGTGGCCATTCCTTCCAGCTAATCCTGGTTGTAGCACACAATGGCCTGACCTTTGGAATCACTGCTGAGTCCACTGTCTTCATTTCTTCCTAAACGAGAATATTCTACAGTTGTAGTCATCTTGAAGCGTAGAGAAGATGGCATGCATAGTACCCAGTGTTTCCCGTTAGTGCAATCGTTGGCCTCCTTTAGGATGATTTGAAGAATGGCTGGCTGGCTTGTTTATGTGGTTTTCTTGCTAACTATTCATCCACTTAACACATTAACCCCACCCTAACTTCACCACTATACACACATCTACCTTTAATTTTAAATTGAATTCTCTTTGGAGAATTTCCTGTATCAACATGTGTGGGACAGTAGTGATAGGGGGCTTTAAAAGGTTTTAGCAAACGTCTGGATGATTTTATGTTACATGCTATTATATAAATTTGAGTATATCGACCTTTGTGATCACACAGATAGCTTTTAAGCCTTCCCTCTGGTGTTTCCTGTTCCCTTACTCTCATTCTTTTCTCCTCTCCATTTACTTCTGACAGACTGATATGCCCGCTTTCATATTTATTGTCTAGCTCCTTCACTAGACTTTTCCCTCAGTGAAGACGAAGATCTGGGTCCATTTTCTTCAGTGTAGTGTTCCTGGGGGCTAAATAGGTTTTGTGCATAGTAGCTGTTCCAAATTCGTTGTATAATGATTGTTTGCAGAAGGAAACTAAGTTTTCATGCCTGTGAAATTCAAGTATTGCCTGTAGAGAACAATTGTGTGGTATATAGACTGCAGAGTTTGAACCTCCCTGTCAGCATGATCTGGGGTGTGTCTAGACTTAATCATTAATTAGATAATGGGATGATTGAAGTTATCTTATCAAAAGTTATTTACCTAATTCTCAGAGTTTCTTTGGTTTTACTTTTCTTCTCCCCCCCTCCCCCTCCTTCTTGTTTGTTTGTTTGAGTCCGGGTTTAGCTATCGCTTAGCCTGGAATTCCCTTTGTAGTCCACGTGGTCAGGAATTCATGGTCCATCTGCTTCTATCAATTTCTTCTTGTTTGCTTGCTTGTTTGTTTTTGAGACAGGATCTTACTGTGTAGCCCTGGCTGTCCTGGAACTCACTATGTAGACCAGGCTGGCGTCAAACTCACAGAGATCCACCTGTCTCTGCCTCCAGAGTGCTAGGTTTAAAGGTGTGTGCTGCCATCCCCAGGGGCTGCTGCTTCAGTGGTGGTAGTGCTGATGCTTCCTCCTCCTCCTCCTCCTCCTCCTCCTCCTCCTCCATGTGTATGTGACTGTTTCGCTTGCGTGTATGTATGTGCACTACCTGTATGCCCAGTGCCCTTGGACATTAGAAGAAGGTGCTGGATCCCCTGTGACTTGGGTTGTGGATAATTGTAAGCCATCATATGGGTCCTCTGCAAGAGCAACAAGTGCTCTTTACCACTGAACCATCTTTCCAGCCCCTTTGCCAAATTCTTAAATAGATTTATGCTGGAATTTAGTAAGAAGTCTCCAGTGGGAGCTGGAGATGGGGCTCTGTGGTTAAGGTTGCTTCATTAGAGGACCTGAGTTCAGTTCTCAGCACCCTAGTCTGGATGTTCACACGTGCCTGTAACTCTGGCTTCAGGGTCTCTGATGCCCTCCCCTAGCCTCCGGAGGCATCCTCTCACACACAGTGTTCACTCACCACAGACACATACACAGAAATAAAAGTAAATCTTAAAGAAAAGGTTTTCCACATGAACTATGAACCAAAGGCTGAGGGGCTCCCAGCTGGATCAGGCCCTCTGAATAGGTGAGACAGTTGATTGGCTTGATCTGCTTGGGAGGCAACTAGGCAGTGGGACCAAGTCCTGTGCTCATTGCATGAGTTAGCTGTTTGAAACCTGGGACTTATGCAGAGACGCTTGGCTCAGTCTGGGAGGAAGGGACTGGACCCTCCTGGACCGAGTCTACCAGGTTGATCTCAGTCCTCGGGGGAGGCTTTACCCTGGAGGAGGTGGGAATGGGAGATGAGCTGGGGGTAAGGGTAAGGGGTGGGAAGGGGGAGAACAGGGGAACCCGTGGCTGATATGTAGAACTGAATAGTATTGTAAAATAAAATAA